AATTTATTTAAACGCCGTCGTGTGACAATATAATGACGCGTAAGTACCCTTTGATCAATTGTAAAAATACATTTTAAAACTTAAGGATGGTGTACAGATCCGATATAAGCGCGCTAGACTTCCATATGTTTTTTTACCTCTATTTATCTATTAAAAATTCCTTTAGCGTAGTCAACTTATAACTATGAAAGGTATAATAAATAATATAAAACTTATAAGACAGGACAGGACAAAAGAAATAACGTATTAATTTACATGAGTTATTTTGTTCTTGTTCTTGTTTTACGTCTATTTTTTTCAAGGTGGACAACCCTCGGTCAAAAGAGAATTAGACTAGTAGAATGTTGAAATTATTTACAAGTTATTACGTGTTCCTATTATATAGAAAGTTCTCAATTGTACAAAATATAATGAATATTTTATATTGTATACTTGAGAGTGTTCACTTCACTCATAAGAAGAATAAATATTTATTTTTAGTTGTATTTATTGTTGTCAAAATTAAATTATAAGTTCTTGACTTGACCAAGACTACGTAACCCTCTCCTGGCGCCAGATCTGGTTCCGCCCTTGATTATACTTGCCCTAATTTTTTTATTTGTTTGTGATGCTCACCTTTTAGGTACGCTGAGTCTCCTCTGCCGGAACAGGTGGTCCATTGTTTCGATTCTTTTGTCTCCGAGCTCGGACTATCTCACGAAGTAAATTATAACAAACTTTCACTATCTGCTACTATGTCCGCGTTTACAATCAGTTTAATTCATTCAAATGAGAGTAGAGAGTTGTAAAATGTCAATTCACTGTTGTCAGTTTTTTGCCGATCTAAATAACTTTAAAAAATTCCAAGAGACAAGATTATAGTTGGGAAGATAAAATGTTTAATCTAATCAAAATATGATTTAGAATTAAGCTTTTAAAATCAAAGAGTTATACTATAAGCCAATAATTAAAACTCCTAGTTAAAATAACTATTTTCTCTACCTTTTCTTTTCTAGTCGATATTTTTTTTTGAAATACCGGTAAATTAAAAAGTTATCTTGTAATTTAAGATACATTTAAAAAATTATGATATGTACTGGTTAAAAAAATAAGTTAATATAAACAAACAAGAAACAGAATTAAATCTTGTCTTATTAATTTTATTTAATAATACAAAAAACTATTTATTTAATCTCTTACATAAATTATATTATTTGTTTATTAATTATCATTTTAATATTTTTATTGTAAAAATATATTCACAATATTTTACCTTCCCAAAATCCTTCTCATTTATAAAAAAAAACTAAGAAAGCTTTCAAATATTCCGCTAACCACTCACGAAAGAAACTCCGACCACATTTATATCGCGAATGTTCGCGCGTACAGTTGCTTTCGCGTTAAGCGTCCGAACCCACGGCGTTAGCAACGAACACTGGGTGGTTCTGGTGACTGACTGGACAAGCTTAGTGAAAAGTTCCATCAACGAGGAACACAGCTTTTACCCCAGTCCCAATATGTCTATATTCGATGTAAATTTATGAAAGCAGTTTATATGTATGTATGAAATGTTATGCATTATTTTCCAGTTCATTTGCGTGGATAAACGACGTGAGTATATTTATGTATACAGATAAAACATTTCATTTTTATATCTACTCAATATATAAGTAAAACAAATACGTATGAACGGATTTTTTAATTGCCTGAACATCAAAATATTATTCTTACCTACTACTTATTGCTTTATTACATTTTATATGGCAAAAATAAAGTAGAAATAAGACGCAGAACGCGATCAATATTTATAAAATAAAAATGTTAAAAATCGATTATAAATTGAAAAAAAATCACGTCTCGGACAGGACTTGATCCGACATCCACAGCGTTCCGCTCTAGCTTCTATTTTAAAATGTATATTGTGCCATCATGTGCAATAGGGTGTGAAAAACGTTAAAGTTTTCAAATAAAAATGTTGTCTAAACTATAAAAGAGCCTTTTATTTATTTTTAAATAGTTTTTTTATGGAGACTCGATCCGTACTTTATTACGTGGATTAATAAATAAGTACAATCACATGCGTGTACTCAAAAAATGCGTTTAATTGCTCTTAAGCCACGCAATTCACATGATCGGAGAATCGTGTCACCCGCTTCTCTGTATTAGAATCTTAATAAAACGCTATATCGTATTGTGTGACACAAAACAGCTAAATCTGCGAACGATATAAACAAAAAATGCGGATCATTCATTATACGAATAACCGTTCGTTGAGCTGCTTTCGATGGTATATTCATATTAGGAACACCAAGGTCCTGTATGATGAAGGGGTGATGGTGGGGGAATTACAACCCCCCAAAATATATATAGTTATGATTGAAAAAACTAGTACTTACTATTTTAAATAAAACACTTTGATAACGGTTTAAAACGGTGGTCACCGGAGAGCCTCCCCGTGACCATGGCTGTTGCAAAGCATCCGAAACGTCGGGCCGAAGTTAAAAAACATTTTCAAATAAGCTTAACTAATATATCGCGTTTTAAACCTTTAAAGTGTTTTATTTAAATGTGTACTATTCGCGTAAACTATAGACAGTGTTTAGTACTTACTAGGCAATACACTATGAAATAAAAAAAAATTAAATATATGTACTTCATTCTCTTTAAAATAAATAAAAAATATTAAGATAAGTCAACATTTTTGTTTGTCTGTCTATTCCTCGTGATTCTACAGAGTGTTCAAAAGAGCAACATAATGTAAACTAAATTTCTGAACAATAAGTATGTACCTTAATTCCATGTGTTCATTTTCGTTTACATTTTTATATTACAATGGCGCTTGATACAGCAGTAGGTAGAATGCTCGAAAGTGCAGTAAGAAAGACATCAACGCTAAAATATAAAAAGTGCAAAAATATAAACATACTACATTTTACAGAATCACTATTTATTCGTATCAGTACATAGTTTGAAAACCTGTTTTCCCTCTGTTAGTATTTCAGTGATCGTTTGCATTTAGTTTTCCGAATGTGAAAAGGCAAAATAGGTCTATAGACTGGGGTAAAACATTATCCATACTCAAGCGAGTTGTCTCTCTTCCTTTATCATTAATATTGAGGAGTTAAGGAAAAATATGTAATCCGCCATTTTGAACCGGCGACCATCTTGGATTTATAATGTTATCAATTTTACTATATTGTATCGTCATCTAAATTAAATGTGTGTACCAAATTTCAAATCAAACTAACAACGGGAAGGTGCTTAAATGGCAATTTCTAATTTTGACCCAAAACGGGTCGAGCTAAATAAAACCGTATAAAAAAAGTAGTAAATCATGCTTTTGCCTCTTGCCTGACCAACACTTTGAACATAGCTTCTCAACTAATCTCATTATAATTATATTATCTAAATAAATACAGAAAACTGCATTTTTTCGTATATACCGATATTTCTTTAAAGTATCTACTATCTTGCCAAACAGTGTTTACGAACCAAGAGATTTAAATTGTTTGACTATTATAATCTCGTTACAGAATATTATAATTATTCCTCAAGGCATTGTGTTTAACTGGGCAAGTTTGAATAAAAAATGATATTATACACACTTTTAAAATGTAAAACAAACCTCAACGAAATCAGTAATAACAAAACCCTAATAGTAATAAAAAGATGGACCCTATTATAAAAAAGACATAGAGAACAGCTGGTTTGTGAGACATAGAAATATATTTACTTATTAGTCCTAAATAAAACACTTTTGGCGGTTTAAAAACACGCGAACAAAGTTGCCGACACCTATTGATATTATCTTTATCTATACTTAATACTATAAATGCGAAAGTAACTCTGTCTGTCCGGCTTTAATGCCTTATACTAACTGAACCAATTTTAAATGAAATTTGGTACACAGATATTCTGAAAAGAGCCTGAGAAACTACATAGGCTCCTTTTTAATGAGATGAATATTCGTGATTTCGCTTTTTGGGAATGAGAGTGGGAGTTATCGAAGGAGTGATGTGAGGTGAGCGTTGTGGCAAAGTAGCACTTAACACACAGATTGGCTGCCTTGAATGCGCCCTTTTATAAATAAATAAACAGCCTAAATAATTCTAAATTCTACCCAGTCACTATTCCATGCGGACGAAGTCGGGCACAGGTAGTAAGTTATAAATTCTTGTATTAAACTTGATGAACTGTTGTTCATCTAGTAAAATACTAGTGTTGGATTCTGTTTAATTCCAAATACTTACTAAGACTAAATATTGTAACGCCAGAAAAACTGTTACAAGGAAGTTACTAGTATTCGCATGGAAAGTAATGATTGATGCGTGCACCAATTTAAATACACGCGGTATAGGAAATAAAATTATACAGATAAGCAATTTGACGATTAGTAATAGAGAAAATGAATATTATCGTTTCTGATTCTAATCTATTATTAATTTATATTTCATTGTAGACGGTCCTATTATTAATAAATGAGGCTGCTAAATTACCAAAGTGATTCTATATTATGGCCTAATAACAAAAAACATAATTTTCAATAGGGAGGAAAATAAAATAGGCGAAATTTTGTATATTTGTTAAAATAATTAACAATTTTTGGTCACTTTGCACTTTGCATAAAGTTGGAGTTAGGCTACTCTGCCTCTAACGGCCTCAAATAGTCTAGAGAAATTAAATACAAAAAAATGATATTCCACTTTATTTCACAATAACGTACAATGCCAACTTTTTCAGCACATTCATATTTCAGCATAGATCCTTAACCTCAATATCATAAAAATTATGCAATTGTATTTTTATATTCCTAAATTATATAACTAAATAATTATTGTACACTGATATCCCGTTTGTATGTATACTTAAGCAAATAGTTTAAAACTTATAAACATTGTTCTAAAGACCAGCTTAGTTCTGTTCTGTAATACTTATGTTACAATATGTATAGTGCAATAATATATTTATATTAATATATAAAACTGAAAGTCCCTTTCTATTATTAACATGTTCATAAATACTTATTTAGCCTTCGGTGAGGTTATTTTACCCCAGCCCATATACACAAAAACTGTAGAATACGAATAAATAATCCCAAATTGGGGACCGGGGCATTTCCGGTTCCGCTTGGGGACGTTTGGGGGCCATTCGGGGATCGCTTGCGCTGGGTGATCTATCCCCAGTTCCCCGTTGCCATAGCAACCGACGATCCGCGTGTTGGGGAATACAGAGCGAAACGCTTCCTGTTCCACTTTGTGCTTACGATCCCGACCTATGCACGACAGCTTGAGGCAAACACTATGTTCATACTGTGGTACTTCTTTAGAAAACTGTAATTAAACATTCAGTTTGATTCATCCTATTTATAATTTATATATTACACCATAGGTAGCTTTTAAACCATTTACAAATTTATATTATTTAATTTGATTAAAAAATAAATTGATGATATACAAACATATATAATATACTTTTTTCAATGAAAATATACTGGTTAGACCCTCAAGACAGTAATACAAAAAAACCTTTTTGTAAATCAGGCTAGTAAGGGTTCAGTAACAGATCTAGAAGATTATGAATTACATACCTTGACAATAGAAGATTGTATTTTTTGTTTATCCCAAACAGAAGATTCAATTATCAAAGAAAACATATCAAAGTTGCATTCATTCTTCGCAAAATCCTTCGGAACAGAGAATATTCCTATGGAGATCAGCGAATCGCTCACACTTACACATGGTGCTTTACTGTTTAACAACTGTGTAATATCACTTTCATGACACATCGTATCTTCACAAATGCATCCGCCCATTGCATATGGTACATCTGGTTGTCTATAATGAGAAAAAATTAACATTTATTACAATTACTTAACTTGTTGTTGACTAGTTCTTGATAATTGTAGATCTTTCCTGATTTGAAGAACTTCTTGACTATCAATATTATAAATTATTATACTGTGCAATGACAGCATATAATCAATGGGTTGGACTCCCACTGGGTTCCACATTACTCTGAACAATTTATTGTTTTTCTGAAACACACTTTGTCTGAAAAATCTGTTCAGGCTACTCAGGATTTCTGACTTTACAAAGCAATAGCTAGGTTATTAACATCTTATTTAGATATTATAGGGCTTAAGTTTTTAACCTTCCATCAAGTGAGTGTCACGCTTGTCTGTCCTCATCTGTTATTAAAAAAATGTCAAAGCAACGTTGATAACTTACACATCCTTTATATGGTTCAAGAAGACAATATCCTCAACAGAATGTAACAAATGTTTGTCTGTTACAAAAACAAGAACACCCTTTATCACTTGATCGGTAACTATTTTGTCGACTGCACCATAGAATTCTTGCTTCATTAAAGCATGGTCTTTCAAATTAATCATATGATATTTAACATTTGGTATGACTGGTATATATACACCTCCGACAAATGATGCAGAATTGAGTGATGTAACTGAGTTTTCTTTTGTTTTAGAATCTGGTAATGGTAAGTATGAAACATAGGTAGCTTTTACTCCCATCATACACTCCTTCGGTGCACAAATGTATTTGTGTAACACGTCAAATCCTACAACATTTGATTAGTTCGTTAATAAATTAAATATCACCTCAAGGATATTTGCTATTTATTTTTCTTGACTTGGATGTATAAAAAAAATCATGATGCATTAAAGACACAAATATAAAATGAAGTGTAGTAATAATAGATTGACATAATATCTATAATGTAAATTATGTTTAAAGATTTTAATAAAAAATCTTACCCATGTGATATTTATCACAAGGAGGACTGCATGGACACGGTGCAATATTCTTGCAACTGAAAATCTTAGAGAATCCAGTTATGTTTAAAAAAGTAAATACCGCTAAAGGTTCATTGGAAAATGTTGAAGACTGCTTTATGTGACATAAGTGCTTTACAGAAAAATCAATAGGATACAATTGCTCTTTCCTTAGAGCATTAATAGCTGAACGCCAAGTACTGCACACATGTCTGTAGACTAATTTATCTTGCCATGATAAATTACTTAGTATATGTTTAGCTATAACGTAGTTTGTCACAACTTTCTCAATGTTGTCACTGCTAAACTCAGTGACATGGTCCTCTCGCTCTAAACACCTCTTTTCTAAATAAGCAGCTACATTATCATCTAACTGGAGTTTTGTTACAGAGCTATGGTGCAGGTCCGTCTCAAAAATACCATCTCCTGCCATTGTTCTTTATATTCTTGTTACTATCTCATACTCATTACCACGCGGAATAGGGTCACCTTTCAGTAGTGACAGTATTAAACAATATAAGTAAATAAAGAAAAATACCAGATAGTAACCCACGTGAATGAGGACGTCACGCAAATATCTCTTTAGTTGTCCTCTGTTATGTATTTCTGTTGGGTCGTAAGCGCCCAGATTACCTTGTGGAATAGTAAGGTACTGGAAAGTAAGCCAAATACACATGGGTATGTTCAATAGAAACAATAAAAGGTGGCCGTGGAGCAACAACAAAAATGTCGTGAAACATTGGCAAATGAACTTTGGAAGCAGCCAATAGTTTAACTTATCACAGCACTCCTGTGCGTTCAAATAGTCACATTCCAAATCCGATAAGGTGATAATGTAATAAATCAAAATAAAGAACGATGCACCGCTTATTAGCAGAGCTAACACAAACAGTAAAGTTTCAGCAAATATCATAACTTGAACCTGTTTTTTCTAATTCTAGCCTTGGTTAAGCACTATAGTAAGCAGGAGTTTACGTACTAAGGGGCCGGGTTTGTAAAGATATGTTGTTATTTACTGTCCAATATAAATACAATTTTGAAATCAGCCATATACACACTTTGATGTACGTTATATATATGAAGACATCCGGAATTTATATGCTCGCAGTGATTGTTATGTAACCCAAAGTAAAGTAGCTCTGTTATAATTATTACTGGTTAATTTGTTTAAAATATAAATAGCAAGATTTATTTTTTGTTTATAATTACACAGAATACAGATTGTTCAGATCATTTTGAATTTGAGGAAATATACCACAGACTAGTGTACAAGTTAGAGTATAGAATCGGTACATATTTAGTACACTAATAGAATAACCGACGAAGTAACTAGGTAGTAATATAACACAATGTATTATCCATATTAAATGTACATCTTTATCCTAATATATAATTGCCAATTTCTAGTAAACTGTATTAACAAATGCAATCATTGGTTACTTGTAAGCATCTGAACGCTGTCAAAAATTAATTGTGACTACTATAATAGGAAGGTCAAGGGTCTGTACTTTGTTTGTATGACTAATAAATATAGATTATAATAATCAATTAATTAAAAAAAACAAACCGTTATAAACTCAACAAGTTTTGTTTCAAGGGGGAGAAAATAAAAGACTTTTCTATCAACAATCTTTTCTTACACTAATAAAGGCTTGGTAATTATTTACAAGGCTTCATTATACGACAGGTAAAAAACTATCCAATTACTATTACATTTTCGACATTAAGTGATTATCACAAATACTTGGCTCTGCCATACATTGGATATGGATCATCTACTACTTAGCGGTACTAACTGAATAATGTCAGATAAGTTAATATACATCTAACAAACCTTAACTATTGTTAAACACGCAATATAACGAAGCCAGTTATACTATTCATTAACTTCAAATTAAACTAAAGGTTTAGCAGCTTAGCACAGCATATCACTTTAGAACATAATTATATTTGAAAGAAAAACAAATGTTAAAACTCTCCTTAAATTAATACTCGTAACAATAACATATATGGAGAAACTATTACTGAAAATTAATCTCACTTGAACAGAATTAGTTTTAAAAGGAGTGTGTACAACTATACATTAGGAAGGTATTATTTACAAGTGAAGTTTATAACTGTAGTAATATTTACTTGTTGATTCTTTTACATAGTAAATATTGTAAATTTCACACTAGCAGATTTGCTATTTTGCAATAAAGCTAAAATAAACTAGGCCCTAAATGGTCAAAACTTCCAGTCCAAACAATATATTTTTCTAATGGTTATATGTAAAATACAATTTTGATGAGCAACTCTAAGAAATATAAATAGGTATAATTTATACTACGTGTTACAATAATTTACTTATTTAATGGAATATAACTTACGTTTAGTAAAACAAATAAACCAATTATGTTACATACATGTGATGATTGATTTATGTACTAATACGAAGTTAATTGTAAATTTACAAACTGGCAATTATATAATAAAGAAAAGCCTAGAATATTTTAAAATATAATGACATACAATAGCATACCTCCATTTTATAGCACCATACCTTATGTGACTTTACCCTGATGAACTTTTCTCGGGTAAAATCACACATCACCACTTTTTAATACCACCAACAGCAAAAGCCATATTCCTCTAAACAATATTAATTCTAATTACTCGTGGAAACTAAATATTATGTTGAAGTACAGCTGTTAAATCAGTGTAATATATTGGCACATACTCTCAGGCCAGCTTCGTTGTCCTCACAGGCATCAATTATTAAATTAATTATAAATGCAAATAATGGCAATTTGTCTCCGATTCTATTAAATCCTTATGTTTAGTGCTAGCTAAGCAATGGTGAACGCAAAACGATAATCCTAACGGGCAACATTTATACACTAGAAGGTAATATGGGATATTAAATAAACAATACATAAATCTCTCAAAAAATTATGCGACCACCTTGGTATTCCCTAAAAAAATCTACCGTGCACCTATCCTAAACTTTAGTTAACAGTGGAATGATATATTTTCAAGAATGTTATGTTAATCAAATAATTATGATAATTCGTTTCGATAATATATACATATTAAATAAATGACTTAGCATTTTGAAGAACCATATACACCACAACATCAAAACAAGGGTTTAACTTAAACACGAGTGGAAGTAAAGGTAATAAATAACAATGGAATAAAAATGGTGCGCATAATTTTTTGCAATGTGGAGTCGGCTCCCTACTTTAACTAAATGAAAATAGTATCTATAATTGATCCCAAGCTGGTCCCACCCATGACGATGGCTTGTGAATATGCCACTCGCATCTTACAGACGTCGAGAGGTTTCAGACAATTCAAGTTGCTTTCAATTGTTGTTCGAGTTATCCGAATGTAAGAGGCAAGTGGGCGTGTTGCCACTGTTGCAATTCAACAAGACTGGAATGTCATTTATTGATTTTGGGAAATAGTATCCAATCTTAAGACGAAATCGTCGCTTAATATGTTCGATGTTATAATAAGACTTATGATTCAAGCGTGTGAGCGATTTCGTCCGGACAAAACAAAGACTACCCCAATGGTATTTTTCTCCTAAGTTTTAGTCATCGGGCGGAATGCAGAAATCCACAACTATGTTGAGTATTTAAATTAATAAACATTATATACATAAGTAGATACGCCTCTGTAAATAAAATGGATTAAATTAATGTGAGCCAAGTATGTCACTGCGCACACAGAGGTGACGAAACACGTTACACTCACTAATAAATAAAACACAAAACCTTAACTAATTAACAGCTAGCGATACCGATATCAATTTAAGTACCGTTGGGAATCATCCACGGACCGATTAGTGTCAACACTTTGTGTTCTGACATTGCACTTAACATAGTCCTTATAGTCACGATCATGGAAGAATCTCGGGTCACCAAGCGTTCAGACTAGCGTAAGTTACTCGCGCTACCCGGTAGCGTCGTTTCTACATTAAAATCTAGTCTAGCCGAGGAGAAATTTCTTAACTGATATACAAAAACTCACTCAATTATTGACATATGGTAGAGATCATAGTTTGGCATCGTTAGAGAGCGACACCGCGATGGTGCGGAGCTGTGGGTCAAGTGGCGTCGTATTCGCTTTTCTCCCAAGAGTATATTTTGCAGGCGGGACGCGGCGCGGGGCGCGACAGTATACCGCCGAGGAGAGGGTCGCACGGCGGCATGTGACCGCGACCGAACAAATTCGGAAACGTATTGTTCATGTAGCATTCGGTGTCCATGTTGACGCTGTTGCCCAAATCAATGCCGAATTCTTTGAAGTCGATATCGCAGGGGCGATCATCGAACGTGTCGTGACGCGTGTCCTCATTGTGGAAAGGTAAAGACAAATCATTTATATCGGGAAAATCGGTTCTCGAGGTGTCCAATATATCACCGTTTGTGAGCGGAGTCATGGTCATCCTCTCCGTCTGGTCATCGTCAATGTCCATGCCGTGTGTCTCATTGTCGCCGGCCAAGAGAGAGCCGAAGAAGTCATTGTCCGATGTAGAATTGCAATCGGCAAAATTAGCATTAAACTCGTTGGTCGCTAACATATCGACGTTGAGATCGTGGTCGATGCCATCGACGTCGCATTTGATATCTCCGACTGAAGATAGATCGTGACTCATAATTTCGTTTTGTATCTCATTTAGTTCTCTCTGCAATTCATCGGCAGCTAATGAGTCCCGAACGTGACTGTCGCTCAAGACGTCGTCAGTTAAAACGTCAGTGGGAGTAAAATCGCCTGGACTAGCCGTTAAGTACCCCGTGTCTATAGATCTATTCGATGCGACGTCACCAACGGCCGACGGTGGAAGCTCACCGTTCTCCACAAGTATCTCCAGAACATCATCCATAATCTGACTATCTTCGCTATCTTGAATGGTAGATAGGGGGGTAAGTGGCATCGGCGGCGGTGGAGGCGGCGGGGGCGGAGGCGGTGGCGGTGCCTGTTCCGGTTCAAAATGTGTTGGTAGGATCGCGATAGGTACCACTTTTACCCCATTTAAAATGTACGCCGGGTTAGTTTTGGGTTGATTATCGGAAGTCACTTCGGTTGTTGGAGGAGTGACCGTGAAAAGACGGACGAGACGATCTGGAGCAGTGTCCGGCGTGGCTATCACATAGCGCTGCGGTGGATTGGGCGCGGCGGGCTGTTGGAGAGCGTCTAGTTTCGCTCTAAGCTGTGTGACACATAGATGTGCCTGCAGCAACCTGCGACTTTGATCGCTAGCACCGGCAGCTTCGCGACGCACAGCTTCTAACTGTTGTCTAGACTCTTCTAACTGACGTTCTAATTCTTCGATCAATCTCCGTTGCGATTGAACTATATCCTCTGACTCAGGGTCTGGCTTAGTCTCAGGTGAAGCGAGGGATACCGGGGATGTGGGCGAATCTTCTAGCATATTATCCAGGAGATACGGTCGTAAGCGATCTATAAGCTGGGGCTTGGGACCAGAGACTCTTAAATTTCGACGCTTGCACTCGGCACGTAAATCAGACACTTTCATGTCTTCGAAGCGGGAGTTCACGAAGTTACTAGTGACAGGCAGGGGCGGTGGCGGAGGAGGAGCGGGTAAAGCGTCAGATGAGTCGGACGCTATGGAAGTAGAGGAGGGTGCTGGTGACGCCGGCAGCATTAACTGTAACAACAACTGTTGTTGCTGCAGTAAGAGCTCATATGGGGTCTCGTCAGATCCAGGCGGTGAGGTCGACTTTTGCGCATTCGGTGGACCCTTATACTCGTGGAACTTAAACCGCGATTTGCACTTTTCTTTTATTTTTGGTTTTCTACGGTTTGCTTTACCCGGAGCTGGGTGCTGTATGTTGCACTGAGAAACACTAGTTGGGGATATGATCGATGGTGGTGATGGGGAGGGTGAGATCTCTTCAGGTGGGCCACAATAGGAAGAGGGATGTTGAGGCCTTCCTGAGGCACCCTCGCTTGTTGCTTTGAAGGCTAGACTACCGCTTTTGACAGCAGTTTCTATATTTTCTTCTGTATGTAGTATATTTTTCTTGATAAGTTCTAGAGGTCCTGGCCGATGTGAGAGCTGGTCATTGAGCTGGTCCGCAAGGCGGGCCTTTTTCAGCATACGCTGTTTCTCCGCTAAGCTTGGATCAACATGGCTCTCCTGAAATATACAGTAATACATTATTTGAGATCAATAACGCTACTTGAATAAATGTTTGTATGTTATCACAGTCGTTCCCAATTTATATTTAAGTATATAATATGTTTTTAAATAATAATCAAGCATCATTTTGATAGAAAGCTATTCCCCCCTCACCTGTTCCAGTATATGTCTTCGTTCGAGCTCCTGACGATTGGGCCTGCTCTGAATCTTCGCCTTCAACAAATCTCCGGTCTTCGCGCGCGCCAGCTGCACGCTTTGTTTGAAATACGCGGGCGGTGTTTTTAACGCTGCAACGATAATTAGATAGTTCTAAATCCGAACATCAAAATCCGTGTTACATCGACGATAAACACCATTCGTTTAGATAAAGTTTATAAAAGTGAAAATTTTGATTTTTATTGGCAAGTTAGAAATTCTCATTAGCTGCGGCGTTTGGATCGTAAATAAAATTCCATCGCCTACGCGCCAGTTACGAACGGGAGCTGCGCAGGCGGTTGGGCGCCCAACCAAGACTCGTCATCTCTTATGATTAGTAATTGTCCTGTTTATAGTATCATTTACAAACTATTTCATCTATTTCTCTACGTGACTCTACTTACGTGGCATGATCCCTTGCGCGACCAACTGATTTATCGGGCGGCGCATCATCAGCTTCACCTTCAACGCTGGAACATAAATTAAATTCGGAATAAACATCGATATTAAAATAGCTATTGTGTGTACGATATGCACGGGCGAATTAATTAGACTAAGCTTTCCTTATACAATGATAATTGTTTTACCGCAAACGTTTTCGACGCTCGTTTTAAGAGACTATAGATATGTTTCGATATGTTTATTTTACTCGTGTATATGAAAAAAAAATAGGATGTTTTGACGGGAGGTGACGATTTTCTACGCAACGTGTAGTAAGGTATTCCTCTACGCGATCGATACGTCAATCGATGCATCATAAATAATATCGATAGTCGGTCGATGGGAGTAGGCGAAAGAAGCACTATAGTGCTGCTTGCTTCTAGATGAACGGCGTCGGCCGGACAACGCTGGCCAGTTGCCAACATAAATAAACACTGCACAAGGAAACTAGTGTTATGCCGCGACCGTGTTATAGACGAAACATTCTCCGCGGCAGATGATTGTGGGTTACTAGGCGATCTCTCATGATAGCCGTAGAGTACAATATCGATGTTCGGGGACAGCAAACATTTTTTCCCAATAAACGCGTTCGCTACGCCCACGCGCGCCGATGTTTTCAAAATAACAATCTTCTAGACTTTAAATATAACAATCTCGTTTCGAGAGGCGTGGCTGCTATTTCTCTAGCACAAACGACAAATATTTGCCGCGCATATTAGTTATACATACATTTGTGTAGCTAGAAGCAGGATGGCTATTTGCATTGCATGGGCAGACAACAGAAGGCGCATTAGTGCACCGCCGGAAACTTGGTTACGCACTATGCCTTTTAATACGACCTTAGTTGTACAAAGCATTTTACATATAGTATTTTATATGTCATATAAAGCTGAAGTGTTTGTTCGTTTGAACGCGCTAATGTCAAGAAGTATTGGTTCAAATTGAAAAATTATTTTTGTGTTTCTTGGACCATTAACGAGGTTATCCTTAACGTCAGGCGAAGGTAGTAAATAAATAAGTAAAGAAGTTAATAAATAAATTGAGAAATATAAAATTTCCCACTGTTTCTTACAAACGGAGAAAATGATTTCCTATTTTTGGTTGCTTTGAGGGTTTCCATTGCCTGCCCTGCGAAAGCGTCTCAAAATAAACAAAAAATATTTATGAAACATTCCTCTTTAAATGATCTAAAGAAAATTTCCCTAGTGTCTTTCAAGAATTAACTTGCAAGAACGACGGGACGCGACCGCGACGTCGGGGTAACACTTAACAGCTATAATTAACAAAAACGAGGAGTACTGTCTATAGTTTAAGTTTAACTAATATATCGCGTTTTAAACCGTTGAAGTGTTTCATTTAAAAGATGAGGAGGTTTGGAAAAACGAATTTGGTTGCCCAAAGTTCTTTCTACGCGGATGAAGTCGCTGGTAGAGCTAGTATTACATAATCTGTATGAATCTCTAGCATATAGTATGATTTTGCCACATCTATCAGTCCATTATGCAATTACAAATTACATTGGCATTGCTTCTCTACTAATTTCGTACTGATTGACTAGCCATTCATAACAAATGGTATGACAAATGCTTCGAGACAAATATAGAGACATAGCAAGTCTATGTTTAGAATCGTAGCGGGCACTTAATTGAACGCGAAATATAAAATTGTAATTATATTCATAATTAAATTAAGTTTCAGGTAGTTACAAAAAATAAGACACTTTAACCGTTACAAACGCGATATATATTAGTTAAACTTATTTGAAAATTACTGTATACTACGGCCGACGTTTCGCATGCTTTGCAGTAGCCGTGGTCACGGCATAGTCTATATATCGCGTTTTACGCCGTTAAAGTGTTTTATTTAAACATTTATTATACGTTATACATTCATGTACTTACATTCCTTGTGTTTGCCCATAGCGGGCTGCAAGGGGCTGTCGTCGACGACCACCTTCGGGGGGGACACTCGCGGCGGGGAGCTCGGTGGCTCACTCGCGCCGCTACTGCTAGCTTGACGACCAGCCATATCCTCTGCACCCGAGCTGCACAAAAATAATGATTGAGTAAATAAAATAACGCGACGTCCAAAAATGCCTATCAACTTAAATATGAAGGTGGAACAGACAGGGTCCAATATGGTTCTAATTAATGTATAAATTTCTAAAACTTATCCGTACGGGATACGACCATAGATTCAGATTTAGTCTGTGAATTTACGAATATCCAAAGCCAAAATAGGTTGACAACACATCTTGTTTAGATATTATATGGCTAGTGTATTTCACCCACCATCAACTGAATTCCATGCAAGTCTGTCTCTAGAATAATGAAAAATATAAGGAGGGAAAGATACCTGAAGATGTCGTCCTCAGGCGACGTCGCCGGCGTATTAGGCGAGTTAGGGGACGCAGGCGAGGCGGGCCGGCTGCGCTCGCGACGGGGCTGTTTGAACCACTCGGGGTAGATGGCGCTCAGCGTCTCGACCAGGTCGTGGTCCAGCGTAACGCGCCACGACGTGCGCTCTTCACCTTCCGACCCGTCGCCACCGCCGCACGACGAACGGCTCTCTGAGGAGAAAACGCCTAGATTATGTACACGCCCATAAATACAGATTAGGCACTTAAATTTAATTTCTAACAAAGTAATGTTACGTCTATATAAAAGACGTACTGTTACGAATACAAACATATTTCAAGTATATAATGGGATAGTCCAAGAAGTTATGAAAATATCATAAGAACTGGTGGTAATATTGAATGAAAAGAAGCATAATATAAGAAGATTATTTATATCAATTATAATTTTGAAATACATCTGTCCGTAATCATTTAGAAAAAACCTTATTTGTATTATTGTTTTTGAATTAAAACAAAGACTAACACAAATACCTATTTTTCAAATTCTATTTAAATATTTAGTATAAACTATTACTCCGTTTGCTTTGGAGCTAAAAAGGAATCGGTGCACAATTTATCAACGACACCACTATGTTAACAGAGCAATAAAACTCGGCTCACCCTTTAAAGAAATAAACAAGGATCTATCTTCTTCGACCTTGACAGCCGTTACACAACAAGCGTAACACATAAATCTGATATGTGTAACATACGTTTCTTAAAACGTTACAGAATACAGAACGGTAAACAGACCAGCGCACGTGCGCTGCTACTGACTCATCGCGAAGCCAGCCATGAAATATGACAGCGGAAAATTCATTATCAAATACTCTGTACTGAAGACCATGTATAGACTAACATCTTCCAAAAGCTTCTTCTTATTAAAAAAATTTACATCGCATTTGAGCATGTAGTTGCGTGTACGCAGGAGTTTTATATTTGTCACTTCTCAACATTTTTACTTTACCAAGTTGTAAGCACACATCCCACTACGATTTTTTTTATATAGTTTGTAGTTAATAGTCATTTCTCTTCCCTCGGGGCCCAGGGGCACTGAATACGGGCGCCACTTACCTAAGTGGCGCCCGTAGGTGATGATGCCCAAACCGAGTGGTTTCTCCCATTTCACAAGACGCTAAAATTTTAAATTTATTAATGTATGTATATGTACATACGATTTGTTTTTTTTCCCTTCCACGTCCAAACAACTGGTCGTCAAAATATTCATGTTCAAAGTCATATTAGAATTTTATTTAACTGTTAAAATTTTACTTGTCTCCCCTTTTAATAATATGTATACCGTATTTAGTTGGGGCAACAGAGTAGTTTTTAAAGCGAGACTCTATACGTGTAGACGTATATGAGACATGCAATATTATCTTGCAGTATTATTAGACTCAAATATTGTACAAATGAATGAGACATCGAAAAGTGACAAACGTCTACAACACAAATAGCTTTAAGGTGTATTAATAACAGTCCAACTAATATCTGTCTCCTGTCTAAATTTAGAGTTATAATTCATATTTGCTATTCAAAATGATATAACTAAGTAGTTATATGAAGGTTCAGGACAAATCTTATATTATTATAACCCTTTAACGAATTTTTATAATTTTATAAAGTAAAATATCATTCAAACCAAATAAAAAGTATTCTAAGCTAAACATGTAGAGAAAACTGGTCATTAAGAGGCAGTGGGGGGGGGGGACGAAGGTATATTCGCGTTTCGGTTTCAGTCAGTGCATATACGAAAGCTCATGTACAAAGAGGTCGCCACTGTGACTCAATTGGGTGTTATAAAGGATAGTTAGCCCTTGTCAAGCGGACCACATCATCGTTTCTTTTTTAAAATTTACGAATGTAAACAAAATTTCAAGTGAAAAATAAAACACGCTTTCGTTTTTGAAAACTACTTTCAATAATCCGTATGCTGAAAACGGCCTTCAGTTTACCGACTAGACGCGTATTATATGCATAGCTTTTTATCGATGCCAAGTCTATTTTTTCGTGCACTTACTGAAAGGAATGAAATATCTAGAAATCTTTTTGTGTGAATATATTCACACAAAATTTCACCGTCTGAAAACGAAAAATGTTTTAAACCGTTAATGTATTTTAAACACATGTATAAAATGTATCTGTAAGTTGCGTTATTTACAGAATATTGTAACATTCATTATGTTTATGAATTTTCTATTGTCTAAAATGTTTCTAAGACAGTACATACCTAGTACCTACAATAACTTCTAAATAATTTTATACTTGACGATAGTTAGGCCTATTGTAAGATTGACTAGCATCAATCAAATGTCAGCATTAGCGAGAAAACAAGGCGTTAACTGCGCAACTCAACAAACCAACGTTATTATTTCTCTTCTATTTATGCTCTTTTATTCAATTCAAATCCATAACATTGAACATTTTTCTTTGATGATCCTACTGCTAGTAAACAACTAACATTCGAGTTGTTCTAGGAGTGTGTAATTATAAGATTAGATTTTCTAAATACTGTCTGTAGTTTACGCGAGTTTAAAACGCGAAATATATTCGTAAAGCTTATTTAAAAATTATTTTAATTATGGCCAGACGCTTCGAATGCTTTGTTTTGCAGGTAAAATAATTTTTACATAAGTTTAACTAATGTATATTGCGTTTTAAACTGTTAAAGTGCTTCATTTAGATTAAATTTTTCTTAAAAAAAAAAACTATTATAGTTTTAATGAACGAGGTGTTAGATGATTTGTTGATTAATAAAACGCCTTTGGTAGATCTCGCTAAAGTGTAAACTACAGTATTTTAATAAAAAAACTTCGTAGTAAACAAACAAGTCAAACCTTATGATTATACGTTATTAGAATCCTGATTACTTAGATCAGATATAAAATTAGAATATTAATCGTAGTTCCGGGAAGTGAAGGTCTGCCTCAGTTGAGCCACGGAGGTTGTAGGGGTGACGTCAAATTGCACGCGGCACTCAACCACGTGGGCGACGACAGGTGCTCCCACCCACTAACACGGGCTTGTTTATATCTTACATAATAATCGTCGATAATAGACAACGTAATATAGAAGGAAGTCATAAAAATGTAGGCCAATGGGAAGCAATTGGTCGGAAGTTTAACGAAAAGCTATTAAGCGTACTTTATATACTGTGTACGACTTGGCAATAAATTTTGGTACATATTTTACCACTAGTAATATACTATATCACGTGTTTTAATTGTAAAATGCCTAGTTCTTAGTCTATATGATGGAAATATAATTCTCAAAGTCTTTGAGGGTAGTCTAGCAAAAAGTGACGAAACATGCATTTTCGCTTGTTTTAATTGTGTTGTAGCTTGGTGTCCGTGAAATATTGTAAAGTAATTTATATTTTTAGCTAAGGACGACAGCTGTGTTTCACTATCCCGCTCAGACAAAGTCACTGGCGCAAGTAGACACACAATTCAAAAGAAAAAGTGTTTTTATTTTTCTATGCTAAATAGCGTTTGTGGAACACAAGCGCATGACCTCGTTACGGTGTGTCACCCCCAGTCCGGTTGCGAGAAAATGCGACATCCCTACTGAGAAAATTCATTTAAGAAAGGATAATATTATCCAATTAAAACGGACTGACCCATTAAGAGAAAAGTTTCAATTTAAAAATATTTTTTGTTCGCAAAATTGCATTGGTTATGATAACCTAAAAACTCAGAAGAGGGATAAATTAGACGCAAACAGACGCGAGGGCATTCAAGAATGATAGATTACTTACATTACCTATATCGGAGTTCGTATTGATAACGACTGGTCGACTTCAGATGTGCTCTCGTGCGCAACGCATAGGTTCATTTGGCTTGCAGCTCTAGGCTAAATTCGGATCGCAATTGACTTTGTAAGACGATGAATGAATTGCCGGCAACGGTAATCATTTAGCAGGTAACCTGGTTTTCGGCAGCCGCCGAATGATGACGTTATAGTGTACAGCATCTGCATAAATTCACTGAGCTATTTGTATGCCGTATCAACACTATCTGCATTTTGTTGAAATCGTCTTCCTTTCTATACCAGTTTTCACAGCTTGAAAGTATTTGAGGAACTTCGTTACCACATTAATTACTATATAAAACATTTTTAAATGTATGAAACAGAAATAGCAAGTTTTAACTACGACGTGACTAAAAATTCGAATTTTAAACCAAAAAGTTAGTTAATTGTTTATGTCAAAAACTTGGATACGATCCAATTTTTTGTTGTTATTTAAGTAAATATGTATATTAGTTTTCAGAGGGTTGGGTGGCATAGTAGTATCTTAGCCATTTTCGGCGGAGGCTTGGGTACTACTATTGATCAATGATACAACTAAACTTATAACTCCATTATATAGATAGTTTTAACATATCCATATTTAAATTTTAAGTTCTCTGGGGTGTTGTATGTTATTATTGTGGGTTGTTATCTTGAGATAGATTTTCTGCGTCGGAAACGACTATATTTGCTTAAATATAGTTCTTATTCAGCATAAATAGCGTTACATACAAAAATGTATACCGGAACAAGCGCTTTGCTATGTACTACGCTTCGATTGCGGGAACCATAACGGGTCGATGACGTAAAAGGATGTTTTCAGCAAGTCGGTTACAGTGGCCGTCTGTTTATCGTCGAGCACAGTTAGAGCTACGCCACGATTGGGCTATACTAAAATGCAGCTGTAAAAACACATAGAATCACTTTAGTTCTTCCATTTGCGTGTATATACATCGTACAATGCGATAGTTCGCCCGTTACGCAAGCAAACGGTATGCGCGCGCGGCGCCTGCTACGTAAATGGAAACAAATATACATTATAAACAAAGCGAACCAGTTATGTATATGGCTATTAAAACATTATTATTATTCAAATCGAAATATCAATAACATGCTGTAACCGCATTATTCATAAACTATTCTCTAACAAAGGAGAGCGCATACTCCTCAGATAAAAAATATTTGTTTAAAACACCAAATTAATGTTATTGAACTTATTGATGCTGAGCCAACAAGATTAAAAGTATCTTATCTTGGGAAAGTATAGACAATCTCTAGTCACGCTCTCGCCAAGAAAATTTTAAAAACATCGAAAGAATTCGTTGATTTAAGCTAAGACAACAAATAAATGGCTGTCTCGCTCGAAAACGCGCATAAAACTTTAATTTGATTTTGAATGCCAACGACGTGAGAATCCACAAGTGTGACTTAAATAACTGGAATAATTTTAGTTAGTTATATAACATTCGCTATTAAAGACATCTTTACGGAGTTGTTGAAAATACCCCAGAAGATAAAAAAAAATATTATTTTTTAAATTTTATAGCGACTCGTCTCGCCCCGCCCACCTCGAAATCCATTTTCACTATCCATAATTCAGCGTGAAGAATGCAGCGTCATCCCGTAATAGTATCATCTACGTAAGCGGACTAAATATTATCTAAAGAAATCTAATTGAATATTACTAAAATGTACATAGTACATACGCAGGTTATTTTAACTATAAAGGAGTTACGTTATAAAAAAAAATGTTTTGTTTATAAATGATGCAATGTGTACGTAAAAAATAAGTTTTTTTTGAAATTAGCAATACATGTTTCCAATACTCTTCTTAAAAAAAAACAATTTTCAAAATGGCAATTTAATATAGTAATTTTCCATTATTATACGGTTAAAACATAATAATGTATATACATAAAAAATATTCTATACATTGGAGAAAATTACAATGCGCTAAGTTTCATGTATGACGAAATTCAGTGAGGACAAATTGAAGCTGGCTTCTTAACGAATTGCTTTTCCTGGATGTTAGGTGGAATAACCTAGACATACAACATCTAAAGAAGAAGCAGGTTTACGTAGTACTATGGCTTTGGATATCAGACTGACACCGAAATGTAATTATTTTCGCCTTTTCCTTGACGGAGGTTTGGACCTGGGCGAAATT